TGCCGTGAAAATTCTTAAGAATTTTAATTGTTATCTTTTTATTATACCAGATTATAATAAATTGTTTTGTTTTATTTTCTGGCCGTGATGCATTTTGTTAATAAATTTGTGTTAATAAATAAATCAAAAAAGATATATTCTTTTTCCGATCATCGTAATTTAAGCGTACCGCAGAAGTTTGAAGTATAGGTTCAAGTGTGCCGTGAGATAAAAAAGGTTGAAAAACACTGGTATAAATAAATATACCTGTAAAATTAGTATTGCCAGCGTGGCTATGTTTTTCAATAAGATCAGAAATTCGCACAGGGTGAAATTTCACCCTGCACGGCAAGCTTTAAGGGTTAAGATCCCTCTTATTATCTTTCCTTCGGCAAGCATGTCGCGGCTGCTTGTGTTTGACTTATTTTCGTATCAATTGCTCCCCGTGCAGACTTTAGCGTGTTTTCTGGTAGGGCAGAGTCACGCCGTCAGCAGCAGAGTTTACCTCGCTGAAGGGCGCAGCCTAGATTTTGAGGCTGCAATTTTTCCTCAAATACACGTAAGAAACGGGTGAAAGGCGATAGATTACGGCAAGGCGAGTGTTCGTCTCATGTCTCTCTCGAGCATGCAGAATGTTCTCACCGTTGAAACTGTCCGCGCTTTGAGTCTACTATTCTCTCCGTGTAAGATTCTCAGGCGCGCGTCCCTCTTTTCAGTCGTCATCCGAATTAACCGCGCATTCGTTCCGCTTCTTCGCGAAGTAACGGCACTTGAGACGTCATTTGCGACAAAGTCGCAGTGTGCTCCGACAAATATCTTTCCGGCAATCTTGACGTACGCGCGACCTCGCGAAGCTCTCTTGGCAAGCGCTTCGCAAGGGGCAGGGAAGTGTTCATCATATGTTTTCAACATAAATTTTCACGTGTCCCGCTATTCTCTCTCTCCCCCCCCCCCTATCGTAAGATTCCCGCATTTGCGCATAGCCCTTTTCACAACTGCCGATCGCATCGCTCGCTCCTCCCGACCGCGCGAGGCGTCGCCGCGAAGTAAGTTTGAAGTAATCTTCACGTAATCCGGCGCGGCCGGATGCCAGCGGAGCGCGCGAACAACAAGATATACACGTCGAAAAGCGTCTTTTCGAGCGATTCGCTCGTGCCAGAAGCGGGCGTGTGACCGTCACGTGGCGCGCGGTCGGGGAAGTCGCCGCCGGCGCAGCTGGCCTTTATTGTTGCGTTGCGTCTCGCGAGCGGAGGTTAAGCGACAATTGAACCGCGGGAGGCGGCTCGTTGTTAATAGGACGCGCGACCGATACGGTAAACACCGTGGGGTCGACTCGACGACACCGAGCGGGGATGGCTGTGCTTCGAGGAGCAGCGACTCGCGACTCGAAATCGCAAGCGCCGCTTCCGGCGAACGAGAACGCGCGTCTCGGAAACGCGAATCGGTCCCCCCTCCCCCCCCCTCCCCCGTTCGAGACCCGTTCGCCGTCGAGTGCATTATTACTAATAATATTCAATGACCTTTACGAGCTTACCTATGAAGGGGAGGAGCGAGTTGTACCATTTAAAAAGTAAAAGTCGCCGCATCCGAACATGCCGCCATGATTCGTACTGTGGCCTCGACTCGCCGCCGGTGGCGACTCGTAGCGGAGGCTTCGGAGTTGCGCTTCGCGACGGCGAACGACCCGCTCGCGCCATCTGTGACGGTGACACGCGAGGAAAGACAGCTTTCAAATGTCGATAACGGACTGCTCGGACTGCGTTATCTACGTCGGCTTCGAAACCGGCTGAGCCGAGTTCGAATCTCGACTAAGCAACCTGAAATATCTTTATCAACCATGCAGCCTCTTTGAAGTACAAACCGTTTTTATCAACGACTCGAAGTCGAAGCGGTACGAACCAACGGCGATGTGTCGGTCAGGCTTTTACCTTCCAAGTATTACGATTTTAACGACGCCTCGAACGACGCCATTTCGTCGGGAAATGCGACTCGGCCGGCATGTTCTTCTTATCAGCGAGTCCTCTTATCTTTAAGTCAACGCGGTTTAACGGTGAGCTAAAGAACCGTTTAACGTTTTAATTGCGCGATTGTCCGAGTAAAGTTCCGTCTTCGGAAACGCCCACGAGAAATAACACGCTCTGTAATTCCCGGCCGGATAATACCGACTCGACGCGACTGAACGAGAGAACGCGAGCAGCGTTCGTCGCGAATCGATAATCGCGTCGCGAGTTGCGTTATCGACTTACGAATGGAGCGGCGCGCACTTCGTCAAACGAAGTCTTTAGTTCGCGGACGTGGATGTGGTTCCTGTAATTACGCATATTTTTTGATCGTGGTTTTTCTTTTACCTTCATACTACTGGAAAATGGCGTATGGACAAAGCTGAATGCAGTCCGGAGCCATATATTGACCTGAACTGAACTGAACTTCGTCAAATGACTCGAGAGAGTTGACGCTCCGGTATTTCCTCGACGAGTCTTGGAAATCGCAACGGTACAGAATATACAGAACGTACTGTTCCGCGTAGGCTACTGTTCGCATCAGGAAGCTTGGAGTAGCAGGCGAGCGCCATTTTATGGCGCCGCGGGATTTTCAGGGACACGGAGATCGAACCCCCCCCCTCCGAGCTTGGTCGCAGCGACTTTTCCCGAATACTAGCGATATGTTTGTTAATAGTCGCACCGGCGACGGGTGAAACCTTATTCGCATCCGCGATCAGCTGTCTCATTACGACGTCAGAAGCGAGAGGCGGCGGAGGCGGAGACGGTTTTTGCAAGCCGGTCCGCGATAAAGGACTTATGAAACCGCTTCGATTTGATAAGACAAGCTTATAAAACGCGTCGTTAAACTGCGCTATCAATCCGCGCGTATATCGCGTGCATACGCAAGACGATGCGAAACGCGGCTGTCTGAGCCTAGCAAAATTCAGACGCGATTTTAAGGATCGCCGCTCTGATATGCCGGACTGATAACGCCATTTCTCGCGGCATATTTCCTGTTTTATCTGCGCCGAGGCGCTTTCGTAGACGGAAAAACACACCGCGCGGACATAAATCCTCGCTCTTTCCCGCTCCCTCCCTTCTCACATGCCGCTTCAGTAATGTACAGTTGTATGTGTGCGTGTTTGCTCGTGCCCGACGTCGTGATAATTCGGAATAGCCGGCAATTCTCCGCGGCGAGCTTGCCGCTAATGCCGCCGACGAGTGAAGAAATCAATTGTGTAGCCGCGGGCCTCTCGGATCCGTATTCTCCTGCGGGAGGAGGAGAACAAGAAAGCCGAGGAGAGACGAAGGTAAGCGTGCGGGGAAGGGGGGAGAAAAGAAAAAAGAGAGAGGAAAGACTCGTTCAGTAGCGATACGCAGCTTTTCCGTGTCTCACTTTCGGACGAGTGCGATTACGTGTGATTATAGAATCCTTCGTTGATTGTTGAACTCCGACTCACCCGGGAGTCCACTTATCATCCGCCCCGGTTATGTCATCCTCTCGTCTGCGCGCCCTCCCTGCGCCCGTGTTATGTAAGCTCATCCTTTTTTCTTGTTACAAAAGTCTGTGAGAAATCAGTTCGTACGGCGATTCGGCGTGACTCATTGTTCAGTGCGCGCGTGGAGCTAACAACGCAAAAAGCTCACGTGCCTCGGACCTGTCCGTGGGTCCGCGTGTATGTGTGTGTGTGTGTGTGTGTGTTTGTGTGCGTGTAACAACGCCCGTTGCCGTTCTTACTACGACAGGTGCTCCGTCACCGTAATATAAACTACATTCGCGGAGAGCTGATCTTTATTTACGCGAGATTGAGCGAGCCTGCGCGTATTCGCGGAAAGAATCGCCGCCGCCGCCGCCGCTCTCTCCCTGCCTCCCCCCGCTGAGCGCTAATTAATCACTCACTGTCGCGGGTTAATGACAGCGCATTTCTCGAGACGCACCTGCGGAACCGATGATCCACTGTGCAAAGTATCCTTAATACTCCTGGAGTATCGCTTGAGCTTATCGCGACCGGCGACGACCGATTCGCGAGCCAAACAAACGACGACGACGACGACGACGACGACGACGACGACGACGACGACAACGGCGGAGGCTACGATCGCGAGAGTGCATCAATCGGCGGATCGCGCGGCGATAATATTCTAGCATCAATCTCGCCGCTCACTCGGAAACTGGACCAGTCGACCCTGGACCAAATCTCCGCGAACATGGCCGGCGAAATGTCTCCTCACGAATTCCCGGCGGTCTTCGCGTACGTGCGTGCACGCGTCCGTCCGCCCGTTCGTTTTTCCTCCCTCCTGTCGCCCGTCGAGGTAAGAGCGAATTTCGAGCTGGGATTTCGGCAACAAGGACCAGACTCCTGGCCCGTCGTCGACGATGCGTGACCGACCCGTGCCCGTTAATCGCCCGTAATGCTCGCACTGAGCGCAGTGAATTAAAATTGCAAACACTGACGGGGTTTGTCGCTGTCTCGGGACGGGATTAAGAAAGAGAACCTCGCGATAGCTCGCGCGATATATTCCGTCTTATCGCCGAGGGGAGGCCAATCTTTCTGAAAAAAGAAGAGAAACGTCGGAAACGAGAACCAGCCGCGTGTTCTGCGGAAGCTGCACACGGCTGTAACAACCGGTTGCATTAGGCGGCACGGCGAAGGGGTGATGGACTATCGGATGTACTTACGCAAGATCTACGACGAGGAGTGTGCGGACGAACGAATAACGCGGTCGCTCAAAGACCGTCGAGGGGTCGAGGGGGAAGAAAGGAGACCGCAACGACGAATATTCGTCTCGGGGCGGCAAGAGCGAAAGTTCAGGTCGCAGGAGGTCGCGCGCGCGCGTGAGAGAGAGAGAGGGAGAGAGAGAGAGAGAGGGAGGGAGAGGGAGAGGGGCGGGAGGGAAGGAAGGAGAAAGGGAGGGACGAGATATCGGCGATCAGGCGGAGAATCGATTCCAACTGTCGGCGAATTTAAAAAAAAAGGAATATAAGAAAAGAGAAAGAAAGAATTCGCGCTCCCTGAGAGACATCGAAGTTTCACTCACCGGTGTCGTTTTCGTGCCCTTGATGCCCATCTCCCACATCCTCGGTGGCTGTGGAAAGTGCTGCAACAGATAAGGAAAGAGCCGAGTGAGATCGGAACGTGACCGCCGGGTTTTACATCGCGCTGCGAGACGACGGGCGGATGGAAGGAGAGGAGGTGATGGAGCAGGAGGAGGAGGAGGAGGAGGAGGAGGAGGTGGGGGCCGGCGCGGAGGGCGCGATTATTAATGCGGGTCACGTCGTAAAGTTACGTGCCCTCGAGGCGATCGCGACCTTCCCCGTTGAGGGACGGACGTTAAACTATAAGCATTAACTACAGCCGGCCCGGCGACAATTAACCCTTTGACTGGCGGAGTTATTTATGCGACGTGACCTCCGATTCCGGCCAGGATGGAGAAGGATGAATATGGAATTAGGCTCTCTCGCGTGCTCTCGCGCAAACGGCCGTGTTTATTCCTCTCTTCTCGTCGCGGCGCGACTAGGACTCGTTTCCCGTTTTCGCAATTAGACGCACAAGGCCTGCTGCGAAATTAGTTTCCGGAACTTTGGGTTTAGTTGTAAAATTGGGTAGATCAACTGATCACGTTTGAACGTCCACAGAGCCATGTACTATTTCTGTTTACAAGTTTCGTCTTGGCTACAATTTTGTAATAGTATATAGAGAAAGAATGGATTCTTTATTACTTTTTGCTTTGACAATTACGGAACGTATCTGAGTTAGTTTAAGGCCTACCGAGCGCTTGTGACTAAGATCCGAAAATTTCCGATTTCGAAACAGGCTGATAGATGTGTGTCTCCATTTCAAAGATAAATCTCAGCGTGACGCCCTTGACAGTAGCCAGCGCGAGCGAGCGATTTTTCTCGCCTCTTATCTCGATTGCGCGGTTGTTTGCAAGCCACGCGCGCGCGTTCGCAGGCGATACCGTTGTTCATCATTGTTAATCGTTTCGAGAACAGTCGATTATCTCCCTCCTGTTCGATTAATTGCACGTCTATGTGCGCAATATTATCGCCTCATGTCGACGCAAACCGCAGCAAAAGCAGAAAACAGCTCTCGTCGCGCGCGAAGGACGCACAGGGACACGCGTCGCACCTGCCTCTCCCCTCCCCCCTTTTCGCCCTTCGTCGAGTACTTGCTGGATTATGAGGCGCGTTTTTTCCGCCGGTTTGTTCCCTCGATTGTCATTTCCACTCGAATAGGCGCGCTCGCGCGTTCGCGGCCGATCAGTCCTACGCGGTGATTGGAGAACCCGCGTTTGCTCGCTGACCCATTAAGCCCGCAACCTGTTCTAAGGCAGGCTTGCGCAGGTAAGCAATAGCGCTCCGGAGAGGTTTCCACCGGCATCTCGCGCCGCCCGCGCCCGGCCGAGATCGATCGTGAGTCGAAGAAACGATCGAGCGAGCGAGTCGTCGGCGACGAAAGCCAACGGCGGAGACGCCGGAGCGCGCCGACGCGTGAAAAGTCTTTCCAGTCCAAAAGAGAAATTCCAAAGAGAGCAACAGTCGTTAGATATGATCGAGAGGACCGAGTCTACATCTATTGTTAATCTATCGTTAACGAGTCGTGTTGAAACGGAACGGTGGTGCTTGATCGATAACCACCGCTTCTCCGTAAGTTCTCGGCGCGATCTCTGAAACTATTATTTATTATTTACAAATTAATTAGAGATCTCTGGAACCCGACTCGCCCAGATCTTTTCAATTTTCACCAGAGTTTTCAGAAGTGTGCTCCGGATGCTTTCGGGAAATCGGGATATGCAAAGGATGTCACGAATGAACGGACAAAAGAGATTGCCGCTGACGAACAAGTCTGACACCGCTGAGAGAGAGAGAGAGAGAGAGAGAGAGAGAGAGAGAGAGAGAGAGAACGCGATATGGAAACGCAATTCGAAGGGGGGCGGGGACAGGGGGAAAGAAGCAAACAGCGCGGCTTCCCGCGGACTTCGTCTCCGAGAGTCTCGATGTATCACCCGCGATGGACATCCGTGATCTCCTTTGGAAAGCGCGCGCGTTAAAACTGACCCGAAGAAAGTCAGCGTTAAACGTCGCCGTACTCTCACTATATGATATAACGAAAACAGGCGCATCCGCGCGACACGGTGCACTCGCGTGTTTATAAAAATACGAAACAATCAAGGCTCTCGCACGTCGCCAACACGCGCGCGCGCGCGATCGCGTCCGGATGACCAGCTGACGTCACGGCCCGGTGCACGCGCACGTGAGCACCGTGTCGGCAAATCGCGCTAATTAGCGAATCCGGGCTTCAAGTGCGGATACGACCGGCGGCGCGCGTGACGACGTTCCAAACGGCGGAATTATTCGCCGCTACGTATGGAATACCGTCGATTACGACCGGAGAATCACTCACGGAGAGTCCGGAGAATCTCGGCGGCGCGGATGCGAGCGACCTGCGGCTTCCCCGGCTGGAGCTCGCGGACGCCGCAAGGACGAATTTTTGCCTGAACGGCGAGAGACGGGCGATCTAGGTTTTCAGAAGATCGACTCACCCCAGTCGAATTCTTCATTAAACGAAACGACATTGATAAATAAATATATAAATAATAAATGAGTCACCTAAAAATATATATTCTATTTGTAAAGTGATATTTTCCATAGTCTCATATTCTAAGCGAAGCCTTTTACAGAAAAAGGATTCCTCTTTCGATAAAGCGATTAAGGTGAAGCACTCGTTAAAAATTTATTAGATATTATCCTAACTGCAGTTTTCCTCTTATTTCAAGAGGATTTCCTCTTGTATCAATTAATTTTCCTTTTATATGAAGAGCAATATGTTGATGTTTGAATGTCGGCTTCTTTTGTTCAGTCATGCTCTACCTCCAGACATGAACGAAAAAATAACCATATGTTCATGGAACAGAATATTTGGAACGCTTTTTAAAAAAGATATGTATGTTGCTGTAACATAACGAAGATAATTTACCCATGTTTGGTCAAATACAGTTTATAATCTACTGCAAGTAGTTGAATAATATATTCTTTCTTTTAACTATACAATTTCATACAATTGATTATGATGAACATTTTTGTAACTACGAAGTCCATAGCAAAACTGATTGGAAATTTATTTCTTATGATGATCTTATTTCATTCGTGCCTACTTATTGCAGAACAGGAGTCAGAAGTACATTTATATATATCATATATTACTTTTTGCTATACATTACAACTTTTTCAAATTAACTAGTATAACCAGTAAGAATAAATAACAATCCTCTTAAAAAAAGATTAAATAATCTGCGTATAAGAAGAAATTTATATTAAAATCAGCAAGATCTGCATTATACGTGTAACATATAATCCCTCTATCTTTAAGAATAATTTGTTTATAATATTTTCCTCTTAATCTTAAAGGAATCCTCTTGAGGCCATACATAAGAGTAACATCTAGATGATTCCGCTTGTTCTAAAATTATTTTTTTTCCGGGTAATCGAAACTCGGTTCTCTTTTGAGAAGAATCGGTTTGTACAAAAATCGTGCAGGAAGTCGATTTTTGGAAGAAGAAGGTCGATTCCCTGAAATCGAGACCTTTTACCTATAACTTATCGTTATAGGTAAAAAGCGGAAGAATCACGCGGCGGAATATAAAGTCGAGACCGCGCGCGCTCCTCTGCATCTCGATCATCGTGTCGCACAACAAATCTCATCGCGCGCGCACGGTCGAGGGCGCGTCAGTCAAACGGAATCTTAACTCGGGGATCAACCGCGAGGCGCAATGTTCCCGACAGCCGTTTTGTTAGAGATATCAATATTCATCGTCGCGTCCTCTGCGGGCGTCCTCTCGGAATGTCCCGGCGTGCTCGTCCCGCGCGGCAAGGTCGAGCAGGAACTTCGTCGCTATCAGTTGCAATACTTTATGGATGCACGGGCCGAACGTGTCGCAAAGCAGCCAATTACATTATGACGTATGCAAATGAAAGGCGAGCGTGTCCCCGTCGGCTTCCTGCTGTCCACTTGCCATCTCGCCTCTCTTCTCTTCTCCTCTCTCTCTCTCTCTCTCTCTCTCTCTCTCTCTCTCTCTCTCTCTCTCTCTCTCTCTCGACTGTCCTCTCTTCTTTTTCTTGCCTTCACGTGGTGCGTACGCGAGAGCCTTCGGAGCGTGCGATGACACTCCGCGAGCGGACGCAGCCGAAATTTCGAGCGTGTCGCGAGACGAGAAAGAGAGAGATGTGTGAAAAACAAAGGAGGTAGGAGAGGGGGGATGCCACTTACAAACGCTTGGTGATTTTTCACCGACGGATCTTTCGCCGCGCTCCCGATATGCGGAGGATTCACGCCAAGTGTAACGACTGGCTGATTGACATTCTGAGGACGTTCGGCGGTTGAACGTTCGTACAACTGGACGTGTCTCAGTATTTTAACACCTTCCCTCATCACGAAGCCGTCCAAGGCGGTCGAAGACACTTAGTAATTCGTCTCTTTTCTCTTCTTTCTCTCGCTTCCTCCCACCTTTGGACCTTTGGACATTGAACGCCTTCGGGCTTTCGTCCAGCGACGGGCTGCCGTTATTTTGACAGTTGGACACTCGAGGATCGGAACGCTCAAATGTTGCGACACATTGTGTGTGTGTGTGTGTGTTCGATATTTGGCTATCGCGAACTCTGGACACTCGCGGGCAAAGGAGAGACGTTCCGAATATTTCCCGTCCTCTCATCCCGGGGCCGTATGTAAACGTACGCGTCGTGAATGATGGGACTGTTTTAATGAATTCTCGAAAGCAGATATTTCTAGCTTACACGAAAGACGGAGGAGTATTAATCCGCTCCACTTTATCTCTCTCGCGCGACGGCGCGGCGGCGCGGCGTGCGCGCGCGTTCAAAGCCGTTTTGAAGACTTTCTATAATCTCGAGATTGCCTCTCACGCACACACACACACACACACACCGTCTCTCTCGCGGCTCGCCCGCGGCGTCGCTTACAGCTCCATTCAAAAACGCAAACAACGTGTCTCGGCCGCCGCTCGAAAGCAAGCAGAAATTTTCTATGCAGGGCCGCCGCCGTCGTCGGCAAAGAGCGCGAGATTTGCCGCGCGTCGAAGCCATGCGCGGAAAGGTAAGCGCCGCGCGCGCTAACTCGGCGTTAATTGAGACCAATATTTACCGCTGCTGCGCGCAGACAAATTAATTTGTTATCGCGTAATAATTGCGAGTCACACGCCGTGCGACCGCGCTTCGCAGTTAAATGTCCCGCTGCGTAACCGCGAAAATTAACACGTCGCCGAGCAACGCGCGCGATTCACGTCGCGCGTGTAGCGTCTTAAGAAACGACGCTCTCTCTCTCTCTCTCTCTCTCTATCTCTCTCTCCCTCTCCCTCTCCCTCTCTCTCTCTCTTTCTTTCTTCTCATTATCACGAGGTCGCCGAAATTCGTGGCTTTCGCTTCGGCGACCGCGGCGAAGGAAGAAAAGCGCAGAGAGCAGGAAGGACCTGCCACGAGAGGAGGAGCGACGCGAGCGCGCGTCCCTGCGCGTGTGTTTCAAAATGCAATCGGTCCGCCGAATAACACACGTCTGGCTTGCACCATCCTTTCGAAATTACTAGCACGAGACTCGTTTAAATAAATCACAAGCCACTCGTGCCAGTTTCCAGAATGGTAATCACGCTCGAGGCATCAATGGCTTTTGACTATCGAGCGGCGAAAAAGTTCAAGGGTGTGCGAATCCCGACGAATTAACCCTCGTCGGATCGGAGATCACTGTGATTAAATTTGGGTAACGTAACCACCGCGGCGGTCCTTGACGTGGCCGCGATAATGATACACGCAGCACGTAATATCGTGCCAAGGATATCATCCGACGGATGTGTGCGATCGGAGAAGACGTCCGCGCGTATAAACGCAGCGTCGGCCAGAGGAATAAACAAATAAATAAAACGCGACACACACACACACACACACGTAGCCTCGTAGCCGCTTTCGCGTAGCTCGGCTCATTAATCGTGCACGAGAGGGCACTTGCATTATTGGAACGTCACGAAATTCACTCGCGCGGGGGATAGTCGTTTTTCCGTCGCGTCGCGTCGCGTTCGCGAAATGGGATTATCATCGCGTCGAAGGAGGCGCGTCCGTTTTCTCCGTTTTTCACCGCGGAATCGGGAGAAGCGCGAGAGTCAGCCGCCGAGATCTCGAGTGACATTTATTCGATTTGGTTTACGGCGCGATTACACTGACATTTTTACACCGGAGAAATCGACCGGCTCCATGACGCTGCGATCGCTCGCCAATCGCTCGCCGACGTTGTCTAAGAGAGCGTCGCGCGATTTCGACGCGTCTTGTACTCGTACACCGCGAGGAGTATATCGAGATGCTACGATAGGAATCCTAATAACGTATAGATGGCCGGAATGTAGGGGAGACACTTCGCACCGTCGTCACGTAATTGACACATTGTTCTGGATTCTCCCGTGGAAATCCGGCACACGCGACGTCGGATGTGATCGCGTTCGCGCGTGCAGGATTCTCGGAGCTCGACCGACAGCCGGGAGATCTCGACGATCGGCGTTTATGGCTGTCGACCGGTGGACGAGAGCTCGTGATAGGAGAGAAAATGCAATCTCTCGGGCAAGAAACTCACAAAGAAAGGAAGACGGGGGAAGAGAGAGAGAGAGAGAGAGAGAGAGAGAGAGAGAGAGAGAGAGAGAGAGAGAGAGAAAGAGAGAGGGTTTCGCAATTCTCGGAGAAGGCATAAGCGCAAAATTATATATGCAGCACCAACGGCGGTGGCATGTGCCAGTCCTTGAGTCACATTCCCAGGATTCCCGCCAGGACTCGCTTTTCCATACGAGAGAAATCTGCAGGGTAATTCAGGGTAATAGCGCCCGAGTGTCTCAAAGTTCAAAGTATCTCTTTGGCGCGTTGGAGCACTCAAGACGGGAGTGCGGGGCAGTTTAGGAAAGCGTCGCGATCTTGTGAAAATCGAATGCGACTTAGAGAGAGAGAGAGAGAGAGAGAGAGAGAGAGAGAGAGAGAGAGAGAGAGAGAGAGAGAGAGAGAGAGAGAGAAAGGGGGAGAGAGGAGCGCGCTTTGTCTGCTCGTCGCTTTTTCCTCAGGGTTACCTTCGCGCGGACAAATCGACATACCGTCGTCGTGTTCGACGTGTCTCGCGATTATGAAATTCGCGTGTTACGGCTCTTCGGTCGTGCTTTTCAGCTGCGACCTTGTCGCGTACGTGGCATTAGACGAATCGAAAGGCACGAACGTCGTGTCTACTATTTTCGAGTTAATGCGCCTTGTCCTCGGCTGCACTTCGTTTCCGCGCGACGACGCAATCTGGGAGAGGAAATTGCCGCGCGGATCTCCGTGTGTGGGAGACGACCGGTCATGCCTCGTACCTGTTCTAATTCGCCAAATTGCGAAACACGAGTGAAAAGGCGCGCATTGGCTGCGCAACGGGCCGTTGTATACGAACGAGCGTGAATTACTGACAGAGATCGCCGAGAGCGAGGAAACGACACCGCGTAGAATTGCCGCGAGTTGTTTGCACACGGACGGGAAACTCGCGGCGCGCGACGATTCCACAATCTTCTCGAAGGGCCGCTCGTCGCTTCGCTCGCTCGCGAGGGCTGCCGCGGAAGGAGGACCGCGAACGAGGAGGGACAAAAGCGCCGCTCGAGCGGCGCGAGTTACGGATTGTCCGGCGGATGTAGGCAATAAAGAGAGGCTCGCCTTGAGGAAACGCGAGTGGCTCACGCCTCGATTCATTGAGGACATCTCATCGCTCCGATCGAGACGATCCTTGAACCAGCCGTCGCATTTCGATTCAAGAACACCGGGCGCGCGCGCGCCCGCCGAGTTCGATCACATCCGCGCTCGCGATCGTCTCCTCCGAGCGGGAGCCGCGGGGGCGGCTGATAATTCTTCGTGTGTCCTCCTCCTCCACCGCTGTCGTGAGAGAATCAAGCGTGGGCGCGAACGCTAATTCTCGCGGTTGCCCTCGATAGGAGAGAAAAGGGGGGGGGGGGAGAGAGAGAGAGAGAGAGAGAGAGAGAAAGAAAACTGAAAGAAGAATTAACAACGATCGAAGGATAACGACGACTCTACGAGGCTCTCTCCCTTCTCTCCCTTTCCTTCCGACGTCGGGCAGTCTCGCCGCGTCGAGCAACGCGTCGACAATGTGCACCGCGAAGCACGCACAATTACACACGTGTCACAGTTTAAAATACTCTCTCGCGATCTGCCCTCGCCGCGATCCGCGGCGTATAATTGCCGCGAGTTGGAAAATCAGCCGCGTAATGAGAGACACCGCCGGCGCTCTCCCCCCCCCCCCCCCCGGCAGCGCTTCCATCTAGAAAATTAGGACTCTGAGACATTCCATCTCCGTGTATGGGGCCGGGAGAAAAAGGAGCAATCTCGTCCGCGGACTTGATTGCTTGCGTCACACGGGCGACTAGTATTCGAGAGCTTTCTACTCGCGGGATGAAGTTCGCTTCTGCGCCGCGCGAGTGCAACTCGCGCGACGTTCGCGCGAGTCCGAACTTTTAGCGGTAACGCGCTGCGTGTTTGCGTGCGCGAAGGATGTAACTCGTTCGGCACGAAACTCGAGCGAGACTCGGTCGAATTAGCGCGACAATGAGCGAGCCGAGAGCGAAGGGAACAGAATTCGCTCGCACAGCTTCGTCAGATTGATTCGACCGATCCTGTTTTATTCTCCGCGAGAATAGCGCGATTAACGACAAAAGCGAAACTGCGATCGAAGGCGAGTCTTTCAAATCGAAACTTTCAAATCGAGTGAGAATATCTCTCGCTGCTCGTTGTTCTCCCGGCGCGGGATCTCCGCGAGAAAGCCCTCCGGGGAGGATCGCGGTTCGTAGGACGTCGCGCGCAGGAACGGCCGCGCAAACTCCGCGGCGGCGCAGCGGAGCATTCTAGAAAATGTAGGCAGGCTATATCGAAGGCAGAGCCTGTAATGAAGTCAATTACAGTTAACGAGATAACGTCGCGATCATTCAATTGAGAATCCCCATTGGAAGCGCACGCACGTGCATCCATTGTCGGTGTTGTGTAAGCGCGCGACATCCGAAAGGGATTCGCAGAATTCCGCACCGCGCGCCGCGCCGCGTAATTAGGCTAATTATCAGCTGACGTTTTCAAACACGAGGCCGAAAAGCGGAACGGCGATATTGTCGCGCTCGCACGGCGCCTCCGGCATTTCTTCGCAATTCGATGCCCGCTCCCCGCCCGTCGTTTCGCGATCGTTCGCAACGTATCACGCAGTTTCGCGATGACTCAGGCGAGTAACGTTCACGTGGAGATAATTTTTATTTTATTATTACAGCGAAGCCATTTATCTGGCTGCGTAGGAAAATTGCACGCGAGAGAGTGGAAGATCTCGCGGCGTGATTATCGTGTTACTGTTATTGTTGTGCTATTATTGAGATCGTTACGTGTGGAACAGTCTGCGATTTTCATTTTTCCATCTAACCGATTACTCCGCTTGAATTTCCGCCGCCGTTTAATTTCCAGCGACGACCCGGGGAGGAGGGAACTCGCGGCTCTCCTGGGATTAGCCGCACGGAAAGTAAGGCGACGACAGACAGAGCGAGCGAGAGAGCGGGAGAGAGAGAGAGGGGGGGAGGGAGAGAGAGAGAGAGAGAGAGAGAGAGAGAGAGAGAGAGAGAGAGACAAAAAATAACTCACGGACAAAATAAATGCAAAGACGATTGCAAAATCGCGCTCGAGAAAGCGCTTTCCTGCCGATATTCCGCGCACGCGTCGCGACGCACTGGAGTCGAGCGAGTCGCGTGTATATCTACCTACCGACATCGACATGCTGCACGGCGACTTCCAACATGGTCCACTGAAAATTGCAGACGATGAAAATCCACAGCGTGTGACGACGACGACGACGCTGGTGATTACTGCTCCCTCGGAGACGTCGCGATGCTGGGGGGATTTCTTCGGGCGGCCGAATCGTTTGCTCGATCTAATCTATCATTCTGTAATCCCCCCACTCCTTAGAGCCGCCGGGTACTCGAGTTCAATGAGTAGCCGATAAGACGAGATTACAATGCGACTTTGGAGTAATTTTCAACAAATCGGTACCGACTGCCAATCGACTACGATTGTACGGATGTACGAAGATACGCGGAGATTTAAGCGACTTTCGGAGGTTCGAGGGTCAAGCAGGGTCGCTGTGGAAAGCCGATTTGGGGGAGGGGGGAAGATCTGAAAGTCCGCGGAGACTGGAGATTCCACGATTCGATGAGAATTGCCAGTGTATATCGATTCGCTTGACGCTTCGAAACGACGACCGATATAAGTTCCGCAACACCTGCTGCGGAAGTTTGCCGATCGGGGGGGGGACAAGCAAGTAAGAACGGGGATCGTCGAAGCAGATCCAAAGCCGAGAAGGAACTCGAAGGGTGAGCCTGAAGGGTCTAAGAGCGGACGTGTTAACGAGCTGATCGAACGAGATCGAACTCTCGGATGAGCTCGGAGGAAGCCGCGGAACCGAGTCGTCGAACGACTCCGGGTCGACCGTCGCGTCGCGTCGCGTCGCGTCGCGTCGCGTCGCACTTTTCTCACAGCTGCCGCTCACGGTACCACCCTCGTCGCATCCTCCCTCAGGTCAACTCGCTTCCGGCGAACACCGTGCACACACGATAAGGCCTCCAGGACTTGGTCCCAGCGGATGACTGTTGAGCGACTCGACGTCGAGTTTGCTGCACGACCGTTTGCATTCCGCTCCGGCGAAATTCTGCTCGCTCGCTCGCTCGCGCTGAGAGATGGAGAGAAAAGTCACACGTCCCGGTACACCAAAATGGCGCTGATGGCGAAGAGAGACTCGCTCGCGCGCGCGGAAGAGAGTGACGACGCGCAACCATACACGTGGAGATTACACCCGGCAGAAGAGAAGCTCCGTTCTGTAGAAAGCGTTCGAGGCGCACTAACACGCTCCAACGTCGCAACGCCGAGTCAGGCCGAGCGAGCCGATCCCACGAGGCATCGTCGTCGTCGTGCGCGATACGCGCCCTGAAGTAACGGGGCGAGCTGATTGCCGAAGAGAGCGCGAGGGAGAGAGCGCGTGTGCGAGAGAGAGAGAGAGAGAGAGAGGAGGGGAGAGGAGAGGAGAGGAGAGGAGAGGAGAGGAGAGGAGAGGAGAGAGAGAGAGAGAGAAAGAAAGAGAAAGGCATAGTCCGCTCGCGAGCGCGAACGCGGGGGGGGGGAAGGGATAGGACAGGAGGGGACAGATAGACTTTTCACCTTCGACGAGCACCGAGTGACCGAGTGGAGCCGAGCGAGAAAACACCGCGAGATGATGGGAAATCTAGCGAGGAGTTAACGACCGTACGCGCTGCGGGCCGACGTTAGCGTGACGTAGCCGCCGATTGGCACGAAGCTCGAGGTCAATCGAATCAGAGGTCAGCGGGGTGGCCGAATGGACGAACGCGCGGATATTGACGCTGATGATGCGCGGGAGCACGTCGAAGGATAACCTGCGGGAATGCGGAGAACTGATTAATTTGGGTCGTCGATCGCGCGACTCGCCGCGACGACTGCCGCTCGGTTTGTTAAGACGCTGAGAGCGCAGCGTCACCCATGAAAGTCGTCTCCATGTCCGGCTGAGTTTTCACACGGTCGCTCGTCGCTCGTCCGCGGCTCGTCGACGATTTCTCATTCGCCTCTTTCGCTCGCTCGCGCGAGGGACCTTAACGAATCATTAGGGAACGACGAGGTGTGTCGTCGACGCCTTCGGGACGAGGGGAGGGGGGGGATTTCGGCCCGCCGCACGGAGAAGAATGAGTGAACGGGTTTTATGGTGAAATGCGAGCGATTCGGAGATTCCGATTGGAGAGACCAGAATTCCGTTGAAGTTGAGCAGGATTCTTTTCATAATTTAGAATTCTGAATTCCGAATTGCTTTAACCGGCATATATCTCACCAGAAAAATTCGTTCGCTCCACTCCCAAGCATTTTTCTCCGTGCGATACAATTTAGTAACTGAACTCGAGCGTCTCAATATACGATTTCGCGAAATATTTCGTCATGATGCTACATTTCACGACGAAAATGAGAGAGGAAGTGTGTTAATGCGAGGAATGTGTGTTCCATCGCGGCTGAATTTATTTCTCGATACGGAAGGTTATTGCCGCAGCGATTATTGCCGCGAGAATTGTCCGGGCAAAATGGAGTAGCGTGCGAAAGAAAGGTGGTGTGCGAAAGAGGGGGAGAGAGAGCACATGTGTGGAATTCGCTGGGAAATTCCGCGCGGTTGGCCGCGCGCGAAACGTACGACACACGCGCGCGTCTGGAAATCGCTCGGTCGGAATGCGATGACGAGGAGAACGGTTGTTTACAAAAATTCTATCAATATGATTAATGTAATCCACGATAAAAACGCGAAAACAACGTACCGCTCCGCCACCCGCGAAGGACTTCCGATAACTATTATTTGCTCTCTTCCGATAATGATAATTTCGCGATCTTCACTGCTGCTGATCCGCCGCATTCCGCAACGCTTATCGATCAACTCATTGACACGTCGCAGCGACTGAAAACGGACCAACTATGGAGACACAACGGGATAAAGGAGCGCCTCTCTCAGATTTTTACGCCAATTTTTTCGGCCGCTGAAAGTCGAGCGGAAATTTACAAAAATACCGGAGGACATTCGACAAATTCGCGAAATCTCGAAATGTTAGCTCCGAGCACGAGCGAGAAATATCTCTCTGTTCGAAAATTCGAAAGATGTAATCTAAAGATGTAATTTAACAGCGATAAGGAGAACAACGAGAGAAAGAATGACGGTGTATGCAGATACATAATTGATAATCATAAGAATAATGAATGGACGGATTTTTTTGAATACTCTCGAGAATGTTCGACGCAGGCAGGATAATCAATGTGTGGGTAATTTCGCTTCTCGGAAACTCGTCGCCAATATCTCAGGGGAAGCCTCATGATTTCGCTCGTGATGACGCTCACGTCATTCGCGTTATCGCCGAATAATCCCGCTCGTATCGGCTTGATCGGCGATTGATTACACCACCGGATACGTAAACGCTTATCGCGACGCATTAGTTCCGTCTGCACGGCAGCCGCGTGATGTTTGTAATTGAAGCGTGATGGACGCCAAGCGGAAGCAGGAAGAGAAGGCGACAGGCTCGTCATTATGACTGATCGGAATAATAAGCGATCCGTTCCATTGCCGGCCAGCCGAGCGTCGATTTCGGATCACGAAGACGAAGCCGGGCGCTGCCAAGGACAACGACGCTTTGTTTAAGGACGAGCTCTTATCTTGACGAGATTTTCGATTGTGTCGCGCTACTTCGATCGCGATCGCTCGGCTTTTTCACGCGCACCTCAGCTTGCGTGCGTGTGTGTGTGTGTACTAAAAATCAATCGCCCGCAACCTTGCTCGCGGACGTTCTTTCTCGGGCGAACCTCTCCGAACCGGCCTGTCAAAGACGGGTCAACGGAAGCCGAAGTGTGAATCACAGTGCGCGGTGAGTGCGGTTGTGTGATAAACGCGATTTATTAGCGCGCGTTTCGCGCTCAACTCGGTGATATTCAACTTCGATCGAGCACACCCGCCTTCGCCGGCGACATTGTTTTTTAACTCCTCGCACTCGCATGTCCGGCCGCCGCAGCTAAGAAGAACGTCAATCAAACGTCGAGACATTATTGATCTCCGAATCATATAATTAAGAGACACATTCAATAAGTCGCGAGATAAAACCTCGCGAAAGCTAAAAGTTACGTCCACTCGTTTCTTGCAAGCTGCGCGAAGGACAGGCGAAAGAATTGATTACGAGCCGGCTGACACACTGGCTTCGGATGATTACGAGTGCGAAGGGTTCAATTATCTTTATCGGGGAACGATCTCTCCGTTTGTTTGCGCCGGGTTTCTCCGCATCACTTGGACGTCACTCGTCGCAGATTTCGCAACTCTCTTTGTCGGATCAAGTGGCAGGACAAAACAATTTTATACGCGTACACGCAGAAAAATACTCGAGCGCGTGAACTAATTCTCTGGTGAAACACGAACGATGAAGAGAGAGAGAGAGAGAGAGAGAGAGAGAGAGAGAGAGAGAGAGATTCCTGTTTAATTCAAATAAAATTCTGGTCTATTCAGCCGAAATTTCTGAGCATCAGCTGAAATTTCTCAGCTCGTATTTCACCAGAAAATGAGTCCACTCGAGCCAACATTTCTCTTCGCGCAGCAGCAGCGTCTTGTCACACTTGAAATGTCCGTCAAAGTCGCGGAGATTCTCCAGAACCCCGAACTCTATCTCTTTTCCTCTCTCTCTCTCTCTCTCTCTCTCTCTCTCTCTCTCTCTCTCTCTCTCTCTCTCTCTCGCAAATGATCCGAGTAACCTAACGGATCACCAAGGTTCTGCACGCTGGTTTGCTTTCATGTCTCAGGTAGTATCTTACAAGCTCGACTGATGTCATTAGCGCTGCTTATCAATGCTTGCGCGTGACGTGATACGCACGTTCGTGCAAGTAACTGTCTAGCTTAGCGCGACGTAAAACGCTACATGCACGTTTGATATGCCCCCGAGGTTCTCCTCGATGACGACGTAAATCATATTTGTGCTCGCGATAATGGCGACCTCGGGGAGGCCTCGTTGACGACCTCTCCCCCGATCCGCCGGTCTTGCGGGTCTGCTTTCGTGGCTCGCGACCGTCCGATCCGCTCAAACATCGGAGATCGCTCAGTCGAGACGAGCGATTCGCTTCCGGTATCAATGACGAAGCGATTTTCAGCTTGCCGCGTGGATCACTCGGTTATTTATTTCGTCGTGCGTCATAATGAGAGAACAATAATCATCATATTTACTTAATGCTTCTTTCGCAATCTGACCTTGGCTCATATGAGTCCTCTGTGTTTTTGCAATTTCAGATTAAAATGCCATCTTCGTCGCTCAGAATATTCGATATTTATAACGGAATATTCGATATTGATAACAGAATTTCCCGGAGAGACGGAGAGTTTAGAAATTTTTGTATTTAAAACATCAGCTGCTCAAGAGCTGAAATTTCGTACGACACGGTTACAATCTATGTTCTTTCTTTAAAAGAACGGAGAAAAAAACGGCAGCACGCCCGTCGCACGAGCTGCCCGAGGTTTATTTACCCGCGTATCGCGTTCCGCCTGACGAACAACAATAATTTAATTAAGAAAACGAGATCATCAATTGAGTCGTTTCTGTCGGCGCTGGCATCGCGCGATATTCGATTCGCGATGAATTAATTAGCGGCTCCTCGGCTCCTCGCTGGTCGTCACCCCGGCGGGAATTTCTGGGAAGCGCTCATCGCCAAGCTGTGACAATAATCACAAGCTCGGAACGCAAAACGTAAGGCAAACAGAATTCGTAGGTAGATATGCCGCTGCCACTCAGCACGCGAGCCGCGCGATAACGCGCGAGCGAAGTCAATGTGGGAGATAAGGTATCGCTCGACTAGACTAAAAATCGAACAGACAATCGGACGATATAACCGGCGGCGTAACGAGCGCGCGCGCACAATAGCGCGAGGCAGAACAAACAAAGCGACGGCTGCTGAAAAAATTCGTCGAACGGGACATTTTCCCTGCCGATCCGGAGATTATCGCGCTATTTTCCGCCGCAGGTGCGAGCTCGCGTTTCGAATTTCATGTATGAGCGCGCCACGATCAGTGTGCCAATAAACTAAACGTCGTCGTCGTCGTCGTCGTCGTCGTTGTCGCCGTCGTCGTCGTCGTCACGTTAATGGCAGATTTTATGATTTAATAGATCCGGTTGTTTCGCCAGACCTCCACTATAAAGTTACTCCTCTCCTTTCAAGACCGCGCTAATAAATTTTGCAGAACGACCAATTGGCAGGAATAGACCGAGTTCGCGCTCGAGCATCGCACCGTTGAAAATCGTAGAATCGCGCGAGTTCCTCGCGCCTGCGGATCGCCCGAAGCTGTTTTTTCCTCGCGCTTCCTCCCTCTTCCTTCCCTCGTTTCCTTCTCACTGTGTGTGTGTGTGTGTGTG